CATCAATAATAACAGGTCACGTAAACACTAAATCGTATCTATACAGCTTTTTATTATAAACAATCCAGCATGTTTTTTATTTTTTTTTATTTGCTGCGTAAGGAGCGTTGGGCGCACTATGGAGTAATCCACATTTACAATTATTACAAGCGCCCTCTAGGGCCCGCCGAGAAGTCGTAGTCACGCCAGTCATAGGCAAGTCGGGGAATCGCCGACAAATAGCGTGTTCGCGCTCGCGTCATCTACCCATCGGCTAGAATTGGGAAGGAATAAAGATAGCGGTAAGATTTAGGACGCTTCACAGGGGCTGGACTAGCCCCTGTGAAGCAGGCACACTCATTTTGTCGTAACAAATTTCACATGAGGTTTTCCGGGAGTCGAGCGCGGACCGTCAGTGGGGAGCGAATTTCGCTCTGAGCCACGAGAGCACTGCTTTGTGCTTGTGGCAGGCGAGACCAAACAGTATACCACATCATTTATGAATGTTCACTACTGGCAGAAGAAAGAAATAAACTAATGCAGAAGATAAAAATGAAATTAGGATCCTGACCCGCAAAACCTGACAAATTAGTGACACAACATTTACGTGCATTTAACGGCTTCATTCAGCACATTAAATAATTAGTGTTAACATAAAGTTGTCTTAAATTATGTTGATGTATTTTCATGTTTAAAATTTCGTAATCATTCTTTACTGCTGTAAAACTAAGCGACACATGCATTTAAAAGTACGTAGTGTTACTTGTAACGGAACATGCTGTGAAATAAAGGTTATTATACAAAAAAAGACAGACACGGACAAACAGTCAAGCGAGTAATGCACTACTACCAGCGCAGCGTTGTCAAAACTATGTGCATTCACTTGGCTAATAATATCAATACAGTTATTAAAATATAAGCAAATTATTTCAAATTAATTACGAAAATTCTGACTGCTCACTCGTTAGTTGCCTTTCGCCGTAAGACAACAGTTTGATAGCGTTTCATCGTTTTTCTTTTATTCAATACGCAGTCAATGTTTTTAGGGAGCAGATGATATTAAATGGTATATAACATACCTCACCGGGCATTTTGAGAAATAATTTATAAACAAACGCGGTGAAATTCGTCGCAAAAGGAAGTACTGGTTCTCGGTCTAAGAGGTACAGCACCACCACCAGGTGGACTGAAAAAAACAGCTGTATCTTATCACCGCCAACATCTCGACGTTCGACAAAAATTAGTTTCTCAAATATCGATGCGTCATTGTTGCGAAATTTCCATTAGGCTTTGCGTATTGCTTAAAAAAGAAGACATCAATATATTGAGATAGTGAGTGTAAAGTAAAAAAGCGAGAAAGTAAAAATAAAATTAATATTGGCATTTTCAATAGTAAATTATAACTAAAAAATGTAATCCATTATTCTTCATATCATTCATTCAATTTTTCTCGTGGCTCGTTGTTGTTGTTGTTGTTGTTGTTGTGAAACCTGCATATATTTCATTAATTTCAAGCAGAAATTACTCGTTTTTTAAAAAACGTTTTACATGACCTTTTTTATAGAGCTAATTTTGTACAACAGACTTTTTGTCGCAAATTTTCGAAAAATCGAGCAACACTCGAAAATGAGACCAGCGCCATATTTCGTACCGTCTTTTATTACATATGTGAAAAAAATTTAAAGAAAAAATTTAGAGCGGTTTTTGAGGAAAAAATTCGTAAAATTTAACCACTGTGCAAAAACTGTTCGCTTTTTCAGAAACTTGTTCATGACCTTAAAAAAAGAGCGAAAATTTTGTGCAACAGACTTTGTCTCAGGCAAAAATCTCAATTTTCAATTTTGTAGTTCTAAAATGTTTCTTTTAATTTAAAAAAAGCGAGCAATACCAAAAAATGCAACAAACACCACATTTTTACAGTCTCTCATTACATAAGTGAAGAAAATTAAAAACAAATTGGAGCGGTTTTTGAGAAGAAATAAATTGTACATTTCAAGCAAAAACTACGCAAATATCTCTATCTTCAAGTTTGAAGTTTTAAACTTGTTTTTCCAATTTTCGAAAAATCGGGGGTGTCAACGAAAATGAGACTTTCATCATTTTCTTCAATGTCCTTTGCACAATTCAACAATAAAATTTAATCAAAAATGTATAGCCATTTTTTTGAAAATTTTGAAAATGTCCCAGGGGCCTCTTGTAAAGTACCCCCCAAAATTAAAATATCGGTTTCAAATTTCAGGAGCCTCGATATCAGCTGGGGAATATAAATTTGAATACAACGATTGGGGAATATAAATTTCGGAGAAAATCCACTTAACAGTTTATGGGCTAGCGTTGTGCAGAAACGAATAGGCAGACGGACGGACAGACAGACGTTTTGCCGTCAATCGATTTTTCTGTATGAAGGACGTACAAAACATGTATTCTGGCTACACCAAGTGTTAAAAGATTTTTTTTCTAAATTTAGCAACTGGAGTTACCCACTTTTTCGTTACCAGGGCCTGGCAATAAGAGTTTTTGTGTCGAAAATGAGCCGTTTTTCGGCGTATAATTACAATACTTTCTCTTCTTACGTTAGTAAGTGCGAGAAAGTAAAAAGTGCACAAAGATCTCTACACACAGAGTTACTTGTCAGACCCACATCATGGAATTGATTGAATGATTGATTGGTGTTTCTTGGCACGTCAAATTCTATGGTCCCGTGCGAGTTGTGCCTGTTATATCCCTGGAGGTGGCATTGTTCCCCGCTAGAACGTGAGATCCGTGGCCGACCTACACGTAACATTGTGTGGTTTCGCTCCTCCAGGTATCTTCCTTTCTCATCGAGGCACCGCCCCACCCGAGACAAGCTCCCGCCTTCCCTGATCACCCCAAGTTCGAAAGTGTAGTACACGAAAATGTGTGTCAGTTTGTGTGTGTAAGGGAGAGGCGGGTTCAAGCATGATTGAAACATCGCAAGCAATCCGTGGCCCGCTTGTTAGTGTGCTGCTCCAACATTCACTTTGTATTGATTTAAGAAATCACGGAAAACAACGTGCCAGTCACTAGAATTTGTTTTTCCAGGCAGCGGATGAATTCGATCTAGCTATTTATCTAGTGTCAAAAATCCACCAGAGGCGGGACTCGAACCCTATGACCTCTCAGTCAAAGGACTCTACAGTTGCAATGGCTGTTGTCCTGAGCTAACTCAGTCGGTTAATTATGGAAGGTTTAGGGCATTGATGTGATACAAGAGAAACTATACGTAGCAATGCCCAACAAACTGAAAACATGGAGAATCCTTATGAGTATAGCCAAAATTATAGTAAATTCTGGTTCATAGAGCTTGGTCAATGGAAAGTAATAGGACCACATTTAGTGGATTCCAAACGTTTCGGAACATATATTTCAATCATCTTGTCTATAATGTACAAAATCAAAAACAATAACGTGGTAATTAACCAATGAATCCTATTATTTCTCATATAATTTCAGTAATCATACACACAATTAAAAACATGGAAAGAAATAATAAACTGTAAGAACGAATCCTTGCAACCGTACAAAACAACAACAAAGAACTGAAGCTACATAATCTTGCAGGCGGTAAACCACACGTAATGTGAGGCACATTTGAAAAGGAACACCGCAACACCACACACCATATTTACTGAGGGAATGTGTTCGGTGGAGGAAAAAAATGGCTAGTTTTCTGACAGAGGCAAACCCACATATTTCCAGCAATAGTCATCTGGATAACTGAAAGCCTCAATAAAAAATCAAATGTATTATTTTTCGACATTTGCCCACTTGACCTAAAAAGAAACAAAATCAGTCTGATCTTAATTCCCCACTTTAGCACCAAGAGTTCTTTAGAAGCACAATATTTTAGTATCCGCACAGTGAGATACCGTTACGCCGTTCCTTTGACGTTCTGGAGAGAAAGTGCTTCCCACACCAAGCAAAGTCTTTTGGGATGTCCAAAAATAACTGGAGTAATACTCTCAGTATGTGTATCGCAATCCGAAATATTTATTACAATTTTTGGATGGGTAAATTTAACGAGTGGTGGAAATTTTGTGAAATCATTTTTATCTCTTCGCGAAATAACATGTATTGAAACTGTTGAGGGAAGCTAATGAAGTGTGAACTGACGTCTAGAAAGAAAAATAAATGAAATCAAGAACAAAGTATGAGGTGCCGTTGACAACATGGAGAGGAGAAAGTGCAAAAGAATTCAAGATATTTTTTAGCAGAAACTTTTCGTACAAAGGTATACGAAAACAATAGTATAGGCAACTATATGTAGAAAATTGAATTTGATTTTTTGACTGAAAATTGTTTTCCCATTTTGTCACTCGGGTTGACATTAGAAAATGTCTCCCAAGTGGGTCATGGCCAAAAAACAGGGGGAGCGGGAGTGTTTATAATACACTTACCACATTGGAGATTCCATTTTAATCCTCTTCCGCAAGCTAACGAGAGAAAACGTCACATCTGATAGCGAATGTAGCACTTTCACACTCGGGCGACGTCGCGTTCTGTAGAGGCACTGCCTTGCCTTCGCTTTCGGTCGGAGAGAGTCGCCTCGCCTCTCCCCGCCCCGCCCCGCCCCCGCCGTGGACCAAGGTGAGGCAGCCAACCAAGGCGTGAGCGTGACGTCATCGATGTTGCAGTAACCATGAAAGGAAACTCCGAGGTGAGCGTGGGTCGGCGCGCTGCGAGTGGACCCGCCTCGCAACGGAGTGGGAGGCGCAGATGCGAGCACTTCGCTTCCTCTTCGCCCTGCTATTAGGGGTGCGACATCCATGTTCAACATTAAAACATCTCAAACAAATAATAATAATAATAATAATAATAATAATAATAATAATAATAATAATAATAATAATAATTAAAAAATCGCCTCAAAATCATAGATGTTTTTAAACGTCGATGTTTTTAAAACTGCATTGGTGACGTGGAGATAATTTAGTGTAAACGTTTTCCATTTTTATTTGAGATTTAATTAACAAACCCCAATAAGAGAATATTTCTCAAAACTTTTATTATCTGATTGGATAATTCAAAAATTATGTAGTCTTCGTTTATCAAAAATAAAAACTCAATTTTTATTATTCTCACTCTTAATCACTTTTGCCTGAAGAAGATTCAATTTATGAATATCAGAAAACCATTACAGGTATTTATTATGATGGAACTTTTTTCATTACAAAATAAAAGAACCACATTAAAAACTTCCGTCTTAAAAATTGAGGTTTTTAGAACATCGAGTTCGATGTCGCATCCCAACCTCCTATGCGCTCCCTGCTTCCTCGGAACTCCCGAAACCACTCTTGTGTTTCTGAAAATTGTTTGAATAAATATTGAAGACACTCGATTTATTACTAGAACTCTTAAGGGGTCATTAAAAAATATGTTCAAAACTTCTGATTTCTTAAACGCTCCCTCCTCTTGTGACAAATACTTATCCTAAAATAAATGTGTTTTTTTTCGCCTTGAAATGAATGTTCCGGCCCAATCTTTCTGAGTTGAACGTTGAAATGTGGGTGAAATTTTATGAAATACAATTCTTTAAATTAAAGA